TGGAATACTCAGTCTTTTATTTATTTATTTTTTATTTTGTGAGGAAGATCAGCCCTGAGCTAACATCCATGCCAATCCTCCTCTTTTTGCTGAAGAAGACTGGCCCTGGGCTAACATCTGTGCCCATCTTCCTCCACTTTATGTGGGACGCCGCCACAGCATGGCTTGACAAGCGGTGCATCGGTGCGAGCCCAGGATCTGAACCCAGGCGGCCAACAGTGGAGCACATGCCCTTAACCACTACACCATGGGGCTGGCCCCAGGAATACTCAGTCTTTTAATGTTTCAATTCTATTCAAGTTGATCTACAAATTCAACACAATGCCAATCAAAATCCCAGCAGGCATATTGTAAGAATTGACAAATTAAAGCTTATATAGCCATAGCAATTTTGAAAAATTGGGAAAATCAGAATTTATACTACCTGATTCTATACTAATCATAACAGTGTGATATAAGCATAATGACAGACATATAGATCAATGGAATGAAAGAGATTTCAGAAATAATTTCACACGTATATGATTAACTGATTTCCAATAAAGATGCCAAGGTAATTCAATGGGAAAAGTATAATCCTTTCAACAAATGGTGCTACAAAAGCCAGGTATCCACCTGGGGGGAAATGCTATAGATATCTGTTGTGGACTGAATGTTTGTGTCCCCCCAAAATTCATATGTTGAAGCCCTAACCCCCAGTGTGGCTGTATTTGGAGGTGGGAGCTTCTAAGGAAGTAATTCAGATTAAGTGAGCCCATAAAGGTGGAGCCTTGACCTGATAGGATCAGTGTCCTTGTAAGAAGAGACTTGAGAGAGCTCTCCAGTCCCTGAGGGTACACACGCAAGGGACTGCAATATCAGTGGTTGCCACATGAGGACGTAGCAAAAAGGCAGTGCCTACAAGCCAGGAAGTGAGTTTTCACCAGAACCAGATTGATTGGAAACTTGATCTTGGACTTCTAGCCTCCAGAACTGTGAGAAAATAAATTTTTATTGTTTAAGCCACCCAGTCTGAGGCATTTTGTTACAGCAGCCCTAGCTGACTAATATAGTATCCATATGAACAAAAATCAACCGTGACCCTTATATCACACAATATACAAAAATTAACTCAAAAAATGGATTTGTAGACCTAATGTAAAGGCTAAAACTAAAACTTGAGTACCAGAAGAAAATATGGGAGAAGATCTTCCTGTCCTTTGAATAGGTAATGATTTTATAGATGAGATCCTAAAAGCACTGACCATAAAAAAATCAAATTGAGGGGTCAGGCCCAGTGGCATAGTGGTTAAGTGCGCTCGCTCCGCTTCAGCGGCCCGTGGTTCACAGGTTCGGATCCCGGGCACGCACAGCTGCACTGCTTGTCAAGCCATGCTGTGGCAGTGTCCCATATAAAACAGAGGATGATGGGCACAGATGTTAGCCCAGGGCCAGTCTTCCTTAGCAGAAAGAGGAGGATTGGCATCAGATGTTAGCTCAGGGCTAATCTTCCTCACCAAAAAAAAAAAAAAGAAAGAAAGAAAGAAACTACCAGACACCCACAAAGGTGACTGGAACTAAAAAGGCTGATATTACCAAGTGCTGGAGAGGATGTGGAGCAACTAGAACTCTCACATACTCCTGGTGGAATATAAACTGGTACAACAACTCAACATTTTCTTAAAAGTTATATGCTTTTAATAAATACACACCTTTTTAGTCCAGTAATTCCACTCCTAGATTCTTTACCCAAGAGAAGGAAAAAGAAACATAAGTTTAAACACTGAATTGTACACAAATGTTCATATCATCTGTACTCATAAAAGCCTAAAATTGAAAATAACCCAGGGCCGGCCCTTTGGCTTAGCAATTAAGTGCTCAGGCTCCGCTACTGGCGGCCCAGGTTCAGATCCTGGGTGCACACTGACGCACCGCTTCTCCGGCCATGCTGAGGCCGCGTCCCACATACAGCAACTAGAAGGATGTGCAGCTATGACATACAACTATCT